GCGTGCGTGCGTGTGTAATCTCAGTGTCAGTGCCAATGTTCGCTATCATTAGTAGTTGCACGCGCTTCTGTATAAGAAGTCATACAGATATGCTGAATAATGACAGCATCGGTGTTGATATGCGTACTACTTGTATGGTGAACACTCAAAACTGAAGATACGATTAGTGTTAACACTAGCGGCGGTGGTGGCATTCGAAATACGATGAGTAATGAAACTAATATGAGCGGTGGCACACTTAGGAAACAAAAAAAAACTACGACTACCATTCCGAGTTGCAAGTGTAGCTATGATAATAGTAATGGTACGAATGCGACAAGTGATCCGCATATTTGTACGTAGCGCTCGTTCGTATTAATATCAGTAGTCCAGTACGAGCATTAGCAATCCCACTCGCATTCGCATCAGCAGTCGTGATATGATGAGTGTTTGCATGTTAGCTTTAGATGTATGCAGCGTGACTAGTTGTATGAACTATACTAAGAACAATAGTAATACACATACTGGTATTAGTAATGAGATCCGTACTAGTCGCGGTAGTAGTACGAGTATCAGCATGCGTAATTCGACGCTCGTCTGAGGATTCGAATCAGCATAAGCACGAGTATTAGCGCTAGCATTAATATTGAAAAGAATGTGAGCATGGATAGTGATATTCGCTTTGGTAGTAGCCCTACGATACCCCAGGCCACCCGTTGCAGTTCCTATCCCTATCCCGATCCCTCGATCCCTACCACTACCCCTATATCAATTAATGTTCGGTATACCCTTTTCATCCCTCTGCTATATCCGCATCCTCATCCGCATCCCCATCCCCATCTTGATCCCTACCCCCATAAACTCCTATCCCTGCATCCCTGGCCCTGGCCCCACATCCACCCTTATCCCTACCCCGATCCCGGTCCCCCCAACGTGGCCCCCCATCGTGACCCCCCTCATGGACCCCCGTCGTGGCCCCCGTGGGAAGTGCACAAAGCTGCTCGGGACCTTTTGCCGCAAGGGGAGCCACTTGACGGCCCAGGGGCCCGGCGAAGGCCTCGTCTTCCCCCCACTTCCCACATTTCCCAACCAACCTCTGGTGTTGGGTCCTCGTTTTGACGAGACGGTCCCCGCGTCCCTCCTCCTCCTCTCCTCCTCCCCTTCCCTCCTCCCCCTCCTCCCTCCTCCCCCTCCTCCCTCCTCCCTGCGCTTCACCCACCCAATACAGCGCTTCGTGGCCCCATGGGGGACTCCACCGAAGGTCCCAGTGGCACCGCCCGCATGCGTCAGCCAACACCCAGCACAGCCATTGCTCCCTGCGTTTCACCCACCCAGTGCAGCGCTTCGTGGCCCCATAGGGGACTCCACCGAAGGTCCCAGTGGCACCGCCCGCATGCGTCAACCACCACCCAGCACAGCCTTTGCTCGCTGCGTTTCACCCACCCAGTACAACGCTTCGTGGCCCCATAGGGAGCTCCACCGAAGGTCCCACTGGCACTGCCCGCAAGCGTCAGCCACCACCCAGCACAGCCCTTCTTCCCTGCGTTTCACCAACCCAGTACAACGCTTCGTGGCCCCATATGAAAGCTCCACCGAAGGTCCCACTGGCACCGCCCGCATGCGTCAGCCACCACCCAACACAGCCGTTGCTCCCTGCGTTTCACCCACCAACTACGGCATTTCGTGGCCTCATAAGGGGGCTCCACCGAAGGTCCCAGTGGCACCGCCCGCATGCGCCAGCCACCTCCCAGCACAGCCCTTGCTCCCTGCGTTTCGCCCACCCAGCACAGCGCTTCGTGGCGCCATAGGGAGTTCCACCGAAGGTCCCAGCTGGACCGCCCGCATGCGTCAGTCACCACCCAGCACAGCCCTTGCTCCTTCCGCTTCGCCCACCCAGTACAACGCTTCGTGGCCCCGTAGGGAGCCCCACCGAAGGATCCAGTTGGACCGCCCGTGTGCGTCAGCCACCACCCAACACAGCCCTTGCTCCCTGCGTTTCACCCACCCAGTAAACCGTTTCGCGGCCCCATAGGGAGCTCCACCGAAGGTCCCACTGGCACTGCCCGCAAGCGTCAGCCACCACCCAGCACAGCCCTTCTTCCCTGCGTTTCACCAACCCAGTACAACGCTTCGTGGCCCCATATGAAAGCTCCACCGAAGGTCCCACTGGCACCGCCCGCATGCGTCAGCCACCACCCAGCACAGCCCTTGCTCCCTGCGCTTCACCCACCCAGAATATTGTTTCGCGGCCCAAGTGGGAGCTCCACCGAAGGTCCCAGTGGCACCGCCCGCATGCGTCAACCACCACCCAGCACAGCCTTTGCTCGCTGCGTTTCACCCACCCAGTACAGCGCGTCGTGGCCCCATAAGGGACTCCACCGAAGATACCAGTGGGACCGCCCGCATGCGTCAATCACCACCCAGCACAGCCCTGTTTCCCTGCGCTTCACCCACCCAGTACAACGCTTCGTGGCCCCATAGGGAGCTCCACCGAATGTTCCACTTGGACCGCCCGCATGCGTCAGCCACCACCCAGCACAGCCCCTGCTCCATGCGCTTCACCCACCCAATACAACGTTTCGTGGCCCCATATGGAGCTCCACCGAAATCCCTTGTGGGACCGCCCGCATACGTCAAACACCACCCACCACAACCCTTGCTCACCGCGCTTCATCCACTTAGTACAACGCTCCGTGACCTCATAGGGAATTCCACCGAAGGTCCCAGCAAGACCGCCCGCATGCGCCAACCACCACCCAGCACAGCCCTGTCTCCCTGCGTTTCACCCACCCAGTACAACGCTTCGTGGCCCCATAGGGAGCTCCACCGAAGGTCCAAGAGGGGCCGCCCACAGCGTTAACCACCACCCAGCACAGCCCTTGCTCCCTGCGTTTCGCCCACCCACTACAGCGTTTCGTGGCCCCTGAGGGCCCTATTGGCATCGCAGCGCTTCGTGGCTCCATAGTGGGCTCCACCGAAGGTCCCAGTGGGACCGTCCACCCAGTACAACGTTTCGTGGCCCCATAGGGAACTCCACCGATGGTCCCAATGGGACCGCCCGCATGCGTCAGCCACCACCCAGTACAGCGCTTCGTGGCCCCATAGGGGACTCCACCGATGGTCCCAACGGGACCGCCCGAATGTGTCAGCCACCATCATCCAGTACATCGTTTCGTGGCCCCATAGGGAGCTCCACAGAAAGACCCCATTTGCACCGCCCGCGTGCGTCGTCCACCACCCAATACTCCACTTCGTGGCCCCATTGATTGGGAGCTCCACCAAGCCCCAGGGGCACCGCCAGCATGTGCCGCCCCCATCTGGTAACGAGTTTCGTGGCCCCGTAAGGAGCTCCAGTGGTCCGCCCGCATGCGACCCCCCACCCGGTACAGCGCTTCGTGGGCCCATTGGGAGCTCTACCAGAGGCCCCAGTACAGCGCTTCGTGGCCCCATAGGGGGCCCCACAGAAGCCCCCACTGGCACGCATGCGTCGGCCACTACCAAGTACAGCGTTTCGTGGCCCCGTAGGGAGCTCCACAGAAAGACCCCAGTGGCACAGCCCGCGTGCGTCTCCCCCAACCAGTACAGCGTGTCGTGGCCTCATCGGGAGTTCCAGCGAAGGGCACGGCCCGCCTGCGTCCGCCACGCCCAGTACAGCGTCTCGTGGCCCATAGGGAGCCCCACCGAATGCCCCAGTGGCACCGCCCGCATGCGTCTCCCCCACCCATTACGGCACGTCCCTCACGCGTTTCGTGGCCCTATAGGAAGCTCCACCGCAAGCGGCACGCACAACGCGTTACTCACAACTGCACCTGGTTGGGTCCTTCGCCAGGATAAGTTCCTATAATTTCCTGGGACTCGACGCATAATTGTGTCTGTGTTTTTCCTCCTCCTGCAATCTCTGAGTCGCCGGGTCTGGAGGGTGTATCAGGCGATATGTGGGTGCGATCTGGTTTGTTCCGCGTTCCGATGGGGCCCTGGGGTAAGAGAGCTAGTTTCTCGCAGTTCCACCCCAGTTCGCCCGAAGACGTCCACCGACTGCGAGGGGCCAGTGCGCCGCCCAGCAGGCAGCAGAACCGCCAGAACTGCACAGCGGACTGTTTCACCACTTTTTGCCAACGCACCTCTGACGTGCACGGCTTCCTCTCTCTCTCTCTCTCTCTCCCTCCCTCCCTCCCTCCCTCCCTTTCCCTCTCTTTATCTCTCCCTTTCTCTCTCTCTCTCTCTCTCTCTCTCTCTCTCTCTCCCCCCCCCTCTCGTGATCTCTCTCCCTCCCTCTCTCTCTCTCTCGCTCGCTCTCCCGCCCCCTCTCTCTCCCCCTCCCGCGCCCTCCCTCGCAGCACAGCGACCCAGCCAACCGCGGAGGAGGAACCAAGGAGGGAGCCAGAGGAGAGCCCGCCGCCGCCGCCGCGGCCCGCCCGGCCCCTGGCCCTGGCGCTGCCGGCTTGGCCCGCGCGCTCTCCCCTCCCTCTCGACTCCCTCTCCCTCCCACTCCCTCTCCACTCCCCCTCCCTCTCCCCCTCCCTCCCACTCCCCCTCCCTCCCACTCCACTCCCTCCCCTCGCTCTCCCTCCCACTCCCACTCCACTCCCTCCCCTCGCTCTCGCTCCCTCTCCCCTCCGGTTCACTTCTCCCGGGGGCCCAGGACCAGAACCCCAACGCCTGGGGGTCCCCCCAGGTGATGGGAGTGGGCACCCACACAGGTGCCCCTGGGCCGTTTTGGGGGAGGGAAGGGGGGAGGAGAGGGAGGGGGGGGCATTCGGGGGCAACTCCTGGGAGACCTTCGCTGGAACAAGGGCGATTAAGCCAGATCAAGGTGCCACTTCACCGGAGCAGGCCGGATGAAGCCTGGGACTGAGCCAAATCAAGCCGGATTGAGCGGGACTGGGCCAGAGTAGGCAGGACGAGCCTAGATTGAGCCAGCCAGCGATCGCGAAACTGCCAGCGCCGATACAGAACTGAACCTCCCAGGACAGTGCACCCAAAGGGGGGAAGGGGGAGACTGCAGGCTGGCCTCTCAGGGTTCACTGGCCGGCGCCCGCCGCGCCGCCTCGGGGCCCGCCGTCGTCGCCTTCGGCCGAGGAGGAGGAGGAGGAGGAGGCGGAGGAGGAGGAGGAGGAGGAGGAGGAGGAGGAGGAGAAGGAGGAGGGCGCGCCATCGCTCGGGCGTCCATTCCCCGGTGCGTGTCTCGGCGTCGCGCGCGAGCTCTTCCCGAGCTGGCCCCAAGTACTCCAGATTTCGTAATAAATCAAGGGGGGGTCTCATTTCGGGGGGGGTCTCTTCCAGGCTATCTTGGAGGGCCTGGGGGGTCTGGGGACGATGTTTTGGAGGGTTCTCCCACGGGGGAGGTCTGAAATGGCCTTGTCTTGGAGGGTCCAGACCCCCTCCCTTTTATTACGAAATCTGGAGTAGCCCAGAATGCTCATCGATGGCCCTCGCCGAAGAGAAATGCACACGTCCGAGCGATGCCAAGGGGGAGGGGGGAGAAGGCGGCGAAGCGAAGCGGGCGCACCGAAGAGGCGCCCCCCCACCACAGGCACAGCTCCGCTGGCAGGGCACGCATCCCAGCTTCGACAGCGCACTCGGAAGACCAGGAGGAGCGCACGCAGCTGGGAGGCGAGGGGGGCGGGAGGGAGGAAGCGGCGACGGCGAAGGCATTGCGCGACGGATCGTCAAGCTGCGGGGGTCACCGCGCACGCAGCGACGGGAGCCGAGGTGCCCCGGCCTCGGCACTCGTGACTTGCGCCTGCCGACGATCACCACGAGCTTGGGGGCAACGGGCTTCTCATCGTCAATGGTGAACGTTTTCTTATTCGGCGTTTCGGCATTGGTCGGAAGGGAGGGGGGAGGGGGGGCCTCTGGCTCTGGACCTCTGCTTAGCGCGACTGTTTGCAACAGTGCGTCCTATGGAGGAGACCCCACCTGCTTGAGACAGGCGCCAAAACCACAAGATCTACTCCCGGGGGCGGGAGGGGGGGGTGCGAGGGCCCGCGCCGATCGGCAAAACAATGAATAAAAAAACGATCACATGTGCACAACGCTGTCTGGGGGGGGGGCAGGATGGAGGTCCGAAGCCAAGCACCCCGCCCTGCGCCAGAAAAAATGCCACCCTGCCCGCCGCTCGCGCCCACACCTGGCCACTTCGTCGCGGAGCTTCTCAGACGTCCCCAGAAGCCGCGAGCCGGAGCAGTGGCTCACTGTCGCGGACAACCCCGAAGCAAACCGCCTGGCTGAGCCAGGCCAGCCTCCGCGAGGTAGCAGCAGCGTGGGCCCGCGCGCACGCGCTCGTCCGAGCCGCGGCCTGCGGGCTCAGCGCAAGCTCTCAGCCCACCCGCCCTGGTCGCGGTGCCCTTGGAACCGCTGACAGATGCCCGATCGCCTGGGCCACCACCCTGTGCGCCAGCCGCCGCCGCGAGCAACCGTCGCCTCGTTCCTCCTCTGCTCCTCCTCGTCGCCGGCGTCGCAGGGGGCCCGACGCGTCCGGCGAGGGCCCTGCGCAGCGCCCCGCATGCCCCCCCACGCGGCCACCGATCGCCTCAGAGCGAGCGCCGCGGCAGCGGGCTCTGGCGGGAGCTGCGCCGCCTCCGCGCCGAGCACCACGATGGCCATTCGAAGCAGGCCCCTGGCGGCGCGCAGCATGCGCACGCACGCGGCACGCGGCTCTTGAAAGGCACGCAGCGCGGCCGCCGTCGCCGTGCGCTGGCAGGAGCGCCCCGCGGACCGCCTCAGCAGCGGCGCGGCACTGGCCAGCGCTGCCCCTCCTCAGCCGCCGCCTGCAGCCGAGGCAACAGGCGGGCAGGTCAATACGTGTGCGCTGCCCGCGTCGGATGGGGGGCGACGCACGGCGGGGCCGGCGGCGACACCTGGACCAGTGCACCGACTGAGGGAGGTTGCTGCTGTCCGATCGGATTCGCGCTGGGCGTGTTCGGTACGCTTGTGCGGTCTCGGGACGGGCGACGCGCGTGCACCACCTTCGCTATCGCCATCGCCCAAGAGACAGCAGAACGATCAGGAAGGTCGGACGGGCCTGCTTCCCCGGCATGCCTGTCGTCGAAGATGTTGCCCAAGAGGACCCCCCCGGGCAGCCCATCGCGCACGAGCCGCTTGCAGGCGGGCCGCTCTCCTGGCCAGGAGGGAGGAGAGAGGAAGGAGGAACGAACGAAGCAACGAAGGAACGACAGCCGCTGCGGACAAGCGCCTTGGCCTAGCTCAGGCCAGGTGGGCGAGGCCGTGGCCTCTGGATTATGGCGCCTGGACGCGAGGGGTCTGGCGTGGCTGGCCTCCGGTCTCTGGGGACAGGACAAGACAAGACAGGACGCGCTCCCTCGGCCCAGAGGCCGTCCCGAGACGGGCGGCGCGGCGGCGCCTCGGCGCCTTCACTTCTCGAAGTTCGAGGTGGCCTCGAACCAGCGCTTGACTTGCCCGCCCAGTCGCCGAACATGGTCTTCGGGATCCCAGCTGACAGCAATGTGTGCCCAAGATCTGCCCAAGAGGAGGAGGAGGAGGAGGAGGAGGAGGAGGAGGAGGAGGAGGAGGAGGAGGAGGAGGGGAGGGGAAGGGGGGAAGTTTAGGGGTCCGAGGGAGAAGATCGTCGTTCGGCGGTTATCTGAGGATCTCGAGGTTCTCGGCGGTTCTTGAAGGCTGGAGGAGGCAGGAGGGAGGAGGGGAGGGAGGAGGAGGAGGACGAAGAGGAGGGGGGAGGAGGAGGAGGAGCAGAAGAAGCAGAGGAATAATAATGAGGGAGAGAATGCTTTCTATGGTGTTTCAGGGTTCCTTTGGGATCCAGGAAATATCTGGGGTTCTAAAGGCCACAGAGGAAAAAACAGGAGGGGGAGGACGAAGGAAGCAGGGAGGAGGAAGCATGTACCAAAAATCTTGCAGAGCCCGTCGAAGCTTCCAGGTCTTCTGCTTGCTAACTGTTCGAATTGTGCTTCGGGCATCTTCCTAGGCCTGAGGTTTCTTGAGGTCTGGAGGCTTCGAAGGGAAGGCGGAAGGGGGAGGACAAGGGGGAGGAGGAGGGGGAGGAGGAGAAGGGAGGAGGAGGAGGAGGAGGACGACGACGACGACGACAACGAAGGAGAGGGGGAAGGCGAGGAGGAAGGAGAACGTGCCTCGGCCGTGAGTGTACATTACACCCATGTGGTCAGCACTGCCTGGGGCTTGTAGCAGCTGGACCGGCGCCTGCCCCACGGGATGGCCCAGAGAGCTCTTGGAGGCGCCCCCCCAAGCAATAACAGAAAGTTGTACGCCGCTGACCCCCACCCCTCGGGGACGCGGATGAGCAGAAAGAGTGGAGGGGGATAAGGAGGAGGAGAATGAGGAGGAGGCGGAAGCGGAAGCGGTAGGAGGAGGAGGAGAGGCGGAGGAGAGGAGGAGAAGGAGGTGGATGAGGAGGAGAAGGAGAGGAGGAGCAGCAGGAAGAGGAGGGGGACAAGGAAGAGGAGGAGGAGGAGGAGAAGGAGGAGGAGGAGGAGGAGGGGGAGGAGGAAGAAGAGGAGCAGGAGGAAGCGGAGGAGGAGGAGGAGCGGAACTTGTATGAAGTGCAGCCAGTGCCGAGCTCACCTACGTGCTGATGGCAGCTAGAGCCGCTCTGAGTAAGCTGACGTCTGCAACGTCACACTGTGGACGGGCTGACGCAGGCAAAATTCCGCTGCAGAAGTACAGGCAGGAGGAAGAGCAGGAGGAGAAATGGAAGCAGGAGGCAGAGGATGGCGGCGGCGGCACCTTCGCGCGCGGGCGGGCGTCCGTCGGCGCCGCCTGGCGGCCCCGATGCGGCCCCGGCGGCCGGCGGCACCCCGCCGTCGGCGTCGTCTGCCCTGCGCGGAGGGCTGCGGCAGCGCCTGCGGCGACGGCTGCGGCGGAGGCGGCAGGCGACGGCCGCGGCGACGACGGAGCGGCGGCTATCCTCCTCCTCCTCCTCCTCCTCTCCTCCTCCTCCTCCTCCTCCTCCTCCTCCTCCTCCTCCTCCTCCCTCCTCCTCCTCCTCCTCCTCCTCCGCCTCCTCCTCCTCCTCCTCCTCCTCCTCCTCCTCCTCCTCCTCTCATGGGCCTGCGGGGGGGGGAGCATCATCTCCACGGCGGTATCCGCAGCGGAATCCCTGCGAGTGCGCATTCCGGAAGAGGTCGGGGGCCGATTCTGGAGGGAAGGGGGGGGAGGAGAGGAGAGTAAAAGGAAAACGAAGAGTCTTGCGCGTTGCCATTGCCCGCCTTCTCTGGATGCGCTGACAGTCGCAACGTAGTGGCTTGGGACGAGTTGCGCACCCAATTGAATTACTTCGCAGGGCAACCGCAGTGCGGCGCTCCATTGTTTTGTCAGGCCGCAGCTCCTGATCGACGCTTGAAGAGACATAACGCCATCGTGAAACGGTCCAGAAGGACATGGCACGGCGGCTTTAGCAAAAATGACTGTGTGTGTGTGTGATCGTGTGTTGTGTGTTATGCGTTGTGTTTTGTATTATGTCTTGTGTTGTGTGTTGTGTGTTGTGTGTTGTGTGCTGTGTCTTGTGTGTTGTGCGTTGTATGCTGCGTGTTCTGTGTCGTGTGTGTCTGTGTGTGGTGAGGGGTGTGTGGTGTGTGGTGTGTGCGGTGTGCGGTGTCTGGTGTGTGGTGCGTGGTGCGTGGTGTGTGGTGTGTGTGTGTGGTGTGTGGTGTGTGGCGTGTGTGGTGTATGGTGTTTGGTGTGTGGTGTGGTGTGTGGTGTGTGTGTGTGTGGTGTGTGGTGTGTGGTGTGTGGTGTGTGGTGTGTAGTGTGCCTGTGTTGTGTGGTGTGTGGTGTGGTGTGTAGTGTGTGTGGCGTGTGGTGTGTGGCGTGTGTGGTGTGTGGTGTGTGATGTGTGGCGTGCAATGTGCGTTGTGTGGTTTTGCGGTGTGTGGTGTGTGGTGTGTGGTGTGTGGTGTGTGTGGTGTGTGGCGTGTGGTGTGTGGCGTGTGTGGTGTGTGGCGTGTGGTGTGTGATGTGTGGTGTGCGGTGTGTGGTGTGTGTGGTGTGTGGTGTGTGGTGTGGTGTGTGGTGTGTGGTGTGTGTGTGTGGTGTGTGGTGTGAGGTGTGTGGTGTGTGGTGTGTCTGTGGTGCGTGGTGTGTGGTGTGTGGTGTGTGGCGTGCGTGTGAGGGAATATGTGTGTGCGTGTTTGTGTCTGTGTCTGTGCGTAAGTCCGCCGATCCGGCGTGTGAGTTTCTGAGAGCGTGGGCTTGAGCTCGCTCAAGCTTCGCTCAGGGGGGGGGGATCCGGCGAATTATCCACGCAATTCAGTGAACGCTCCAGCGCGGGGGGGGGGGCCCAGAATCGAGGGGGGGGGGGGGAGCTCGAGCGAGGAGGAGGGGGGGAGTCGAGCTCAAGCGGGGGGGGGTACAAGGAGGAAGCTCGAGCGGGGACGGAGGGGGGAGCCGAGTCTAGGGGGGGGAGCTCGAGCGAGGACGGAGGGGGGGGTCGAGCTCAAGCGGGGGGGGGTGTCCAAGGAGGAAGCTCGAGCGGGGACGGAGGAGGGGGTCGAGTCACGAGGGGGGGGGTGTCAAGCGTGGGGGGGGGGGTCCAAGAATCGAGGGGGGGGGAGGGGGAGCTCGAGCGAGGACGGGGGGGAGGGTCGAACACGAGGGAGGGGTCCAGCTCAAGCGGGGGGGGTCAGCGAGGGGGGAGGGTCAGCGCGGGGCGGGGGGGGGTCCAAGAATCGAGGGGAGAAGGGGGGGGGGGGGGGGGAGCTCGAGCGAGGACGGGAGGGGGTCGAGCTCAAGCGGGGGGGGGGTCCAGGAGGAAGCTCGAGCGGGGACGGAGGGGGGGGGTCAGCGGCGGGGGGGGATGCAAGAATCGAGGGGGGGGGGGGGGGGCTCGAGTGAGGAGGGGGGGGGGGTCGACGGAGGAGGGAGGGTCGAGCTCAAGCGGGGGGAGGGGGGGGCAGCGCGGGGGGGGGGTCCAAGAATCGAGGGGGGGGGAGCTCGAGCGAGGACGGGGGGGGGGTCGAGCTCAAGCGGGGAAGGGGTCCAAGGAGGAAGCTCGAGCGGGGACGGAGGGGGGGGTCGAGCTCAAGGCGGGGGGGGTCCAAGAAACCGGGGAGGGCAGCGGGGGGACGAGGGACGTCGTCGTCATCATCGTCGGTCGTTGACCCGGTCGTCCGTCGTCGTCGTCGTCATCGTCCGTTCCCACACGCATCGGGAGCGTCCTGGATCGGCGGCACTGGCCGGAGGCCATTACAATATGTAAGTGTGTAAGTGTGTAAGTGTGTGAGTGTGTGAGTGTGTAAGTGTGTAAGTGTGTAAGTGTGTGAGTGCGTAAGTGTGTTAAGTGTGTAAGCGTGTCAGTGTGTAGGTGTGTAGGTGCGTGAGTAAGTGTGTAAGTGTGTGTAAATGTGTAGGTGTGTAAATGTGTAAGTGTGTAAGTGTGTAAGTGTGTAAAGTGTGTGTGAGTGTGTAGGTGTGTAAATGCGTAAGAGTGTAAGTGTGCAGGTGTGTAAGTGTGTAACTACGTGCATCAGTGTGTAAGTGCGTAAGTGTGTAAGTGTGTAAGTGTGTAAATGTATATGTGTGTAAGTGTGTAAATATGTAAGTAAGTGTGTACTCCAGATTTCGTAATAAAGGGAGGGGGGTCTCATTTCGGGGGGGTCTATTCCAGGCTATCTTGGAGGGCCTGGGGGGTCTGGGGACGATGTTTTGGAGGATTCTCCCACGGGGGAGGTCTGAAATGGCTTGTCTTGGAGGGTCCAGACCCCCTCCCTTTTATTACGACATCTGGAGTAGCTATGTCAATATGTGTGTGGATGTGTGTATCTGTGTGTGCGCGTGCGTGCGTCTGTGCGTGCGGGCGTGCGGGCGCGCGTGCTTGAATATGAGTGTGTCTGTGTGTGTGTGCGTGGGTTGGTGCGTGTGTGTGTGTGTGGTATGTGTGTGTGTGCGTGTGTCCGTGCGTGCGTGCGGGCGGGCGCGCGTGCGTGCGTGCGGGCGTGCGGGGGCGGGCGGGCGGGCTGGCGGGCGGGCGTGCGGGCGTGCGTGCGTGCGTGCGTGCGTGCCGCGTGCCGCGCGCCGCATGCGGCGTGCCGCATGCCGTGCCGCGCGCGCGTGCCGCGTGCCGCGTGCCGCGTGCCGCGTGCCGCGCGCCGCGTGCCGAGCGCCGCGTGCCGCTTGCCGCGTGCCGCGTGCCACGTGCCGCTTGCCGCGTGCCGCGTGCCGCGTGCCGCGTGACGCGCGCCGCGTGCCGCGCGCCGCGCGCCGCGTGCCGCGTGCTGCGTGCCGCGTGCCGCGTGCGCGTGCGCGTGCGGGTGAGGGATAGGGTGATGGTGAGGGTGAATGTGAGGGTCATGGTGAGGGCGAGGGTGTGGGTTGTGTGGGTTGTGTGGGTTGTGTGGGTTGTGTGTTGTGTGTTGTGTCTTGTGTCTTGTGTGTTGTGTTGTGTCTTGTGTATTGTGTGGTGTGGCGTGTGGTGTGTGGTGTGTGGTGTTTGGTGTGTGGTGTGTGATGTGTCGGGTGTAGTGTGTGGTATGGTGTGTGGTGTGTGGTGTGGTGTGTGGTGTGTGGTGTGTGGTGTGTGGCGTGTTGTG